TGCCTATTTCTCGTTGTTCGCTTTGTGTTGCCGCAGTATTCGCCACAATATTTTTCACGTATGATAAAACTTGGTCACTCTAACTGGGCTACCAGAAAGTTCAAAATTAAATGAATTGCTTTCCTGTGACACACATTTTAGGTGCGTTCGTTTAAAATCTGCGTGTGTGAATCGGTAACAAAGTTCTATGGGGAAAGCTTTTGAATAATACATATTTTTACTATGGTGAGACAGTTTTGCCAATCTGCTGTGTGAAATGAAATCTTTTCTGACAGCAGTAAATTTTTTATAACCGCAGATTTATTCGGAATAAATTATTAAAAATTGAAGTGAAATTAATATTTTAAGAAAACATCTACCATCACTGATTGCATTTCATCAATTTAAGCTTTTGTTTTACGAAAAATTACACACAGCAACAATCTTTGCGATTGTCAAAATTTTCTATGCACTTGCCAAAAATTTCACTAGCCTCATGAGCTAAAATTTTATTCAACTCATAGTTGTCAAAAATTTACTTGTCGCAAACTTTGTTACCGATTCACACGGTCAAAAAACATCCAACTGCCAAATTCCGGCGAAATGTCATTTGTTCTCTTACAAGAGAAAAATATCCAAAATAGTACGCGAATAGAAAATTTGCAGAAACTTGCTAGTTAGACGAACAGCTGATATAATTTTTGTTTACATTCAAAAGTGTAAAATTTAAAACGTACGTAAAGTCATCACAAAGTGTTATATAACACAGTTTATTGGTTAAACAAATAACTACTTATTTCTTACAAGTTTAATTATTGCGAATTGCTGTTGGCAAAAATTTATCCAGCAGAAACCAGCAGCTTCCCCTCAAAATGAAATTTCACTTTGCTCTCTCAATTTCCCCTACTTTGCAATTTTTTTGCGTACTCGAACGCAAAAACCTGTAAGTTGTGGTTAAACATGAACAATTAACAGCTACGCGAACGCAACTTTTATTAATCAAGGTAATTTTTTTTGTCCAGAACGGCTACACTCACATACAGCTGATGAGATGCTTCTTCTTTTTCTAGTTTATCCCCTAAAAACTGAAGGGCGAAGGATAATTCAATGGAGTCGATTTTGTGAGAATACACATACAAATGTGTAAATTAAATTAATCAAAGGCCTGACATCAATAAAAGTAGAAGTAAATATATTGATAATTTTCTGGCATGGGTATTTTC